CAACATTTTATCTCAAAAAATACCTTATATTTTTTACTCAATGAGTGTTTTTAAAAAATAATTTTATTTTTTTACAAGATACTAGTAGTTTATTAAAATTATACATATGAGTTATTTTGTGTTGAAATTTATTGATTTAATTTTTGAAAAATTTATATTAAAAATTTATTTTTATTATACTTTTTTTATGTAAATAATAAAATATGTCATGATTTAATCAATATAGTTATAATTGCAGCTTATCCTTTATTAAAAAAATTATAAGTTTCACTATATTTTTTCATTATTCACAATATCCTTCTATCTCATTGAAAGGTTACGAGATATAGTTAAATATTAAATATGAATTTTTTTTAGATTTAGATTTGAACTTGCCAAACTTATATTTTAATTTAAAGAAACAAGAGTGTAAATTGAGGACACCGGACAGCATAGCAGATGGGAAATAACTTTATTGGATTCATATTATGATGAAGCAACCCAACACAGACAATCTCCATTGGACTCCCAAAGTACCCACACCTACCACAAGAGGTCCCAACGCAACATCGACCGCCAACTACCCGTTTGACAAATTCCACAAATTAAAAATAGAAAAAATGATACAAATTTTTTTTAAAATATATAAATAATAAATTAATCTCTTAAAATGTCATAATTTTTTTAAGTCTTTAAAATTTTTTCTATCATTATTGAATTTATATAAATTAACAAATTACCCTTGTTAAATTAACACGTTTCAGTGCTACAGCAACAATCGAATACCTTAACACAAAAACGATTCAATTAACATGTTTTGAATTCATGGCTTGCCACCTTCCCCAACACTGATGGTATTTGCTGTTGTATTATTATAAATATGAAAAAAAAATTATAAATATTTAAACAAAACTTATAATCATTTATTTTTAACAAGGGTAATTTAATAATTTATATAAATTTATTAATAATAGAAAATTTTTTAAAAACTTTATGAGTATTATGACATTTTAAAAGATTGAATTGTTTTTATTATATTTTAAAAAGATTTTATTATCATTTTTTTTCTTAAAAATTTATATAAAAGCCTCTCCATTTTTTTCTAAAATTTTATTTTAAAAAGATTTTATTATCATTTTTTTCTTAAAATTTATATAAAATCCTCTCCATTTTTTTCTAAAATTTTAGATGTGCATTAGGTATTCAAATTTTGAAGCACTTTGACTATTTGGATCAAGCTTGATTGGACATGAGCGACAAGCTTTTCTAATATTATTTTTTACACATCTACATATCCAATGATATTTAAACTTGAGACTTGTTAAGCTAGCGAGTCACTAATTAACTGAGTTACGCGCTTGTTGGTGAACTTTTTTAAAATTTAGTGTGGCATTTGTAACTCAAATATAAAAATGCATCTCTAACCATATTTTCATGACATGAAAAGACTTTTTCATTTTAGATAAATATCTATTAGGACTTCACATGAAATGAGATAGAATTAGAATTAGGATGACCTTATTCCGTGTCCTTCTTTAAAAGGGAACATAATAGAATTTTAGGACATGCTTGGCAACCTGTTTTAGGAATATTTTTTATTTTTCAGAACAAAAGAATGAAAAAATTTGTTTGGTAATATGTTTTCAAAATGTATTTTAGAGAATAAAAAATAAAATATTATTTTGGAGAACAAAAAAATAAAAATAACTTTTAAATGTTATAAGATTATTGTTCTAGAGGATAAAATAAAATAAAAAAATATATATTTTTATTATTTTTTTATTCTTAAAATATGTTTTATAAAATACAAATTTTAGAATAATAAAATAAAACAGTCTCAAATAACTCCTTAATCCCACATCACATCTTGTTTGATCCTGTTTATAGGACCTAATTGAAAAATCGTGATAAAAAGACATATTGTGAAATATGGAGATGAAAAACAACATTAGGCAACTGACATTCTTATTCTTAAATTCCAATTAGCGAAGCACATCTTTCACTTTTGTTTTTTAATAATAAAGAATTGGTTTGTTTCAAGTACCATCTTTCAATAATCACGTAAAATATGAGAAATATTGTAAATCTAAAAATAAAATAATAAAATGTTAAAGAATATACTCTGTTTATTTTTTATTATTAGAGAAATCATCATTATTAAACTCTCAAGTTAACTCTCTAAATTTATTTTTTATATTTTAACTTATAAAATCATGTTAACTCACTTATAAACTCAAATTAAATATAAACTTGATTAACTTACACACAGGCTTTACTTCCCGAGTATACTGTTTTTATATTTATAACTTATAAAATTGTGCTATCTCACTTATAAACTTACACTATATACAAACTTAATTAAATTTGTTAAACTTATCAATTTTTTACCAATTAAGTGAGTCAAATATATACTATGCAAAACTCATTCATAAAAGTAGTAGGACCCATTTCAAAGAGAAATAAAACTCAAATAAAAAACTAATATTAATAGAAAACAAAAATAATATTAAAAATAAGCTGCCTTATTTTAAAATTTTACTTTGAGTATGATAATCTATCCATGTAGATAAATTTAATTTCAATAATTTATATTTAAAATATATTTAAATTAAATTATGATCATGTTTTATATTTTTATTATTTAATCATATACTTTAAACGACTATTTATTAATAAAGGTAATTCTTACGAGTTTACATTCCTATTACAAGTTGTTCTAAACTCGTGAGTTTGACAATCTTGAGAAAAACTACTACTCTTGACTTATATTTTTTATAAGCAAAATCATCAATTTTAATAAGCATTTATTATATATTTTTTAAATTATTTCTTATAATTTTGGTCAAAAAAAATTATTTCTTATAATTTACATAAACAAAATACAATTGATGTATGGTTATGTTGATTAATACAAAGCATTCTAGTTCACTTTTTTATTTTCAAACATAATTATTATAGTTAACTGATTTTTTTAAATTATGTGACATAATTTTTTACATATAAAAATAAAAAAAGTATATATATAAGTATATATATAGATAATGGAATGAGACGGGACATTCATGAGTTGAGACATTACATATTTGATCCTCATTGTCAACATACTTTTTTCCACTTCAATATGAAAGATATTTTTAATTAAATCTTATATATTAATAAAATTTTGTTATTTAATTAAAATTATAATAATTTTTTTCTTGATCATATCAATTAATATCACAAGATTGTAGATAAAGCACATAATTAATGTCTCTTCACTTTTTTTTAAAATAAAAGTAAAATTATTTAATTACTTAAAAATATTGTGATGTTCTTTATATTTAAAGATAAAATAATTTTTTTAAAATATTGTATACTTCTTTCGTTTAAAATATAAGATATTTTTTAAAGAGTTAGATATTAAAAAATGTAAGGTATTTTTAATTTTTTTAAATATAATTATTATTGTTTTTAAAAATATTTCTATTAATAATGATTTTATATTTATTGTAAGTTATTTAATAAAAAATAAATATAAAAAATAAAATTAATTTAAAAATAAATAATTAATTTTATTAAAAATAAGATTTAATTAAAAATATTTTATATTTTTAATGAAAGAAGATTATAAAAATAGGTAAGCAATTGAGATGGGCCAGGTCAACTCCGACCAAATTCTTCATGGACACTGAGTAGCATCGACTTGATCACAAGCGCGTCAAAACGCACAATTTCTGGAGGCAAACTGATGCGTTTTGATTCTAACGCGACGCGTGGGAACGCCTACTCCCTCTGCTTACTGCACAGCTACAATTTGTTGCTAGCAGAGTGACAGCAACGGTTAAAAAGTTGGGAGATGAAAGACAGGTATCAAGTGAACCAATTAATTTAATATAAATTTAAAGTGTTAAATTTTAAAAATTTATAAATTTAATTCACAATTTAATAATTTTTTAATTTATTTTTAAAATTTTAACATGATTAAAAATAATTTTTTTATTAAAATTTAAAACACAGTTATAAATTTATTACAATAAAATTATAAAATTGAGAATCACATTTATAAATTTTTAAAATTTAACATTTTGAGATTTACTTGAATTAATTGACTCATTTTAAAAATCTAATCCCTCCATTAAAAAATAAAAATATTATTAATTGAATTTTACTCTCTAATAAAGTAGTTACTTACTTTTCAACTAACCGTATTTTTTCATATTTATTCCTATTAAACACTCTACAATAAATATAAAGTCATTATTAATAGGTACACTTTTAAAAAAAGATAATAATTATACCTCAAAAGACTAAAAATGTATTATTTTTGTTTGAACATTTAATTCCTTAAAAAACTTTACATATTTGAACAGAGGGAGTATCTATCATTCTCTCTTAAAAGTTTTCATTTTTGTAGTCTTGCAACTAAAAAATAAAAAATATGCTCGTCTATATTCTTTGTAATTTAAAATATAATAATTTTTTTTAAAAAATTATATATTAATAAAAAATTTATTTTTATAAAATATATACTTCATCCGTTCAAAAATATAGAAATTTTTAATCGATTTCACTCTAATAAAGTAATTGCTTACTTTCAAATTAACTATATTTTTTTATATTTACCCCTATTCAATATCCTATACTAAATATAAAAGTCATTATTAATAAGGACACTAAAAAAAAGATAATGATTACACTTTAAAAGACTTAAAAATATAAAAACACCAACTTTTTAAAAAATGTCTATATTTTTTGACGGAGGGAGTATCATTATTTTTTTAAACTTTAATTACCAATGCAAATACATAAATATTTAAATTAATAAACATAAAAAATAAAATAAAAATTAATATTTTTAATATATACTACATTTTTTATATTTTAAACTAAGGTTAAATAAAAAATATTTTTATTTTGGAGAGGTGGAGTATACTTCACGTGTATTTTTCATGAGATATTCTCGATATTCGTCACGCATTCAATCGAAGTTTCGTAAAAAATCTCAGAACTCGGATCATACTTACGCCTGAAGAATTGTTTTTTGAGATCGATGCGCATGTAAAATTCCTCATCGATTTATGATCATGATTCCTCTTTCCATCTTCTTGATCGTTCTCTTCTTCATCAACCCCTCCATTGAGTCCAACGCTTCCATCTCCATCACTCCCACTGTCCTTTCTAAATCCGGCGATTCCGTCGGTATCCAATGGTCCGGCATTGATTCTCCCTCCGATCTTGACTGGCTCGGCATATATTGTCCTCCCGACTCTCGCAATGACCACTTCATTGGCTACGTCTTCCTCACCAGATCACCCACGTGGCGATCCGGGTCGGGTTCCATTTCCCTCCCCGTCGTCAACCTTCGATCCAACTACTCTTTCCGGATCTTCCGTTGGTCACGATCCGAGATCAATCCAAGGCGTCAGGACCACGACCACAACCCCTTGCCCGGCACAAACACTTGCTGGCTTCCTCACAGGAGCTCACATTTGAACCGGATCGGGGCCCTGAACAGATCCATCTGGCATTCACCGATAGTGACGATGAGATGCGGGTCATGTTCGTTACGGGGGATGCGAAAGAGACGTACGTCAAGTACGGGGAGAGTAAGGATAAACTAGACGGTGTGGCGTTAGCTCGCGTGAGGAGGTACGAGAGGGAAAACATGTGCGACTCTCCGGCCAACCAAACGATCGGTTGGAGGGACCCAGGGTATATTCACGATGGGGTTATGACGAATTTGAAGAAAGGAGTGAGATATTATTACCAGGTATTGCGCGTATATATTAAGCTGGGTCTGTAATCTTAATAGAATTGTTTTATACAATTCTCAAACTCAGAAGCAACGCTACTCATAATTTGTTATATATATATATATATATGGTTCAAATGCAATGTGAGCATGATAAGATTTGGTGTTTTCTTTTTGTCTTTGTTTTTGTTTGATCGGGGAGTTTACTTGTATCCTTTGTGATTCCCCTCTGTAAATTTCACATTTTTTTATGGCCTTCCTGATCCTGAAAATTGCTTCGTTGAACCTTATGCTGACATATTGTTTGAGGAAAATTCAGTTGGCTTGATGTGTTATTTGACTCTGTTTCATTTTCACTACTTCACACGTAATTAAATCATATGATCACGATCCAATATTGCTAATACTATTAGGTTGGAAGTGATAGTGGAGGTTGGAGCATAACACACAGCTTTGTGTCGAGAATAATGACTCTGATGAGACGGTAGCTTTCCTCTTTGGTGACATGGGAACTGCTACACCATACTCAACATTTGTGCGAACGCAAGATGAAAGCATATCAACCATGAAGTGGATCCTACGAGATATTGAAGCTCTTGGTGACAAGCCTGCCTTCGTCTCACACATTGGAGACATTAGCTATGCAAGAGGTTATGTGTGGCTGTGGGACAATTTTTTTTGCTCAAATTGAGCCTGTTGCATCGAAAGTGGCATACCATGTTTGCATTGGTAATCATGAGTATGACTGGCCCTTGCAGCCATGGAAACCTGATTGGGCTGGTTATGGAAAAGATGGGGGTGGTGAGTGTGGAGTACCCTACAGTTTAAGGTTCAACATGCCTGGAAACTCTTCAGAACCCACAGAGCCAAAGCACCGGCAACTCGAAATCTTTACTACTCATTGATATGGAGTGGTACATTTTGTGTACATCTCAACAGAGACCAATTTCCTTCCTGGGAGCAGCCAGTATAACTTTCTGAAGCATGATTTGGAATCAGTCAACAGGAGCAAGACTCCTTTTGTTGTTGTCCAAGGGCACCGTCCCATGTACACAACAGCAATGAAAATAGAGACACCTCATTAAGGAGACAGATGCTTGAGCACTTGGAACATTTGTTGGTGAATAACAATGTCACC